CAGGCCAGCTGGGGGTGGGGCAGGTCTGGGGATGCCAGGCCCCTGCCCCCACTGACTGGTCTGTGATGGGGCAAAACCTCAGAATAGGGGTTTCCCTTGCCCACTACAGCTCTCTGCTCCCTCCCCCCCAAGGCACCTGCCCCCCAACCCTCGGTTACCAGGTGTCTGGTTTGGACTGGAAACCTGGCGGCTCTGGCTGGTGGAGCAGCAGGAGCTGGGAGGTCTGCACCTGGGACACACAGCTGGTTCCCAGGAGCCACTTGCCATAAGTGCCACCTGGCGCCTCCATCTCCTCCCCTCCTGTACCCCAAGCCCTGCCCCAGCCATACACCAGAGCCCGCCCCTCCAGCTGGAGCCCTCTCCCCTCCCATCCCCAACCCCCTCTTCCAGGCTTGTGAAAGCGACCAAGGGGGGCGAGCGTGGCACCTGGGACACACAGCTGGTTCCCAGGAGCCACTTGCCATAAGTGCCACCTGGCGCCTCCATCTCCTCCCCTCCTGTACCCCAAGCCCTGCCCCAGCCATACACCAGAGCCCGCCCCTCCAGCTGGAGCCCTCTCCCCTCCCATCCCCAACCCCCTCTTCCAGGCTTGTGAAAGCGACCAAGGGGGGCGAGCGTGGCACCTGGGACACACAGCTGGTTCCCAGGAGCCACTTGCCATAAGTGCCACCTGGCGCCTCCATCTCCTCCCCTCCTGTACCCCAAGCCCTGCCCCAGCCATACACCAGAGCCCGCCCCTCCAGCTGGAGCCCTCTCCCCTCCCATCCCCAACCCCCTCTTCCAGGCTTGTGAAAGCGACCAAGGGGGGCGAGCGTGAATGAGGGTGCACAGGGTGAGGCCTCGGAGTAGGGATGGGGCAAGAGTGTTCGGTTTGCTGTGACAACAGGCCTCCTGCCACCTCCTCCTGCCACAGCCGTCTGCCTCACCCTCCGCACACACACACCAGGTCTGCTGACCCCTCTCCCAGCTTGTAGGAGGTCCAGCTAGGGCGCAGGCCAGACCCAGGATTTCACACACGTGCAAACACCGCCCCCAGCACAGGGAGTCCACTGGGAGGGGAGGGGCTGAGGTGAGAGACCTCAGAGACTGGAACGTCACCCCCCTCCCGCTTGGTGTCAGAGGCAAAACTCCTGCTGACTTCAGCAGAAGCAGGACTGGCCCCGGAGATGGGTCTGTATTTGCTGGGGCCCAGCCGCAGAGGCACCAGGCTGAGGAATCCCGCTGCAGAAATCCTGTTACATCCTGGAGAGGTCGGCGCCTCACCCTGGCCTGGCTCGGCTATTTGTGGATCGGGGGGGGAGGGGG